AAACGCAGGATCGCTTACTCATTGAATTTCATTTTGACAAACTGCTCTCCGCACATTTTCCACATGGATATTGTTTAGCATGCCTGACATAAACAACACACTGCATAAAAACACTGCAATCTATGTTGCTTAGTATTTTAGATAATCTGGAAGACACAAGTAAACATATGGAGGCATCGACGGTGAAGTTTCCAGCATCAGATATTTAAAAAACTGAAGGTTTCGTCCCAAACTAAAGGCAGCCCCCCCCAAAAAGGCATTTTGAGGAAACTGTATCCGACAGTTCTGACATTCCTCAGGGAAACTTCAGCGATAACAATGGAAACCTGATGACTGCGCTCATCTAGTCTGCCGTAGGACAAAGACAGATGCTATTTCAGATCTCCTAAACCCACACCAACTAAACCGCCATTGTGGAAGGCTCTATAAATACACCTGCTCAGCAGACACATCAGCACACTTCCATGGCATGTGAAGCATCAACCTCACGCTGGTGTCCCCTTAAATGATGATGTGTGCAGCAGCAGCAAATTCAACCAATTACCACAGTGGGCATAAAGACAAGGACACTTGGATTGACCATTTTCTCAAGATGGTGAATTAATCTGAAATAAAGTTGAATTCAAACTTGTCAGCAGGTTGCAGATCTTTTAGTTATCAGGTTCCTCTCCTGTGCAACCAACTACCAGTTTTAGTCCGTGAGGCAGACACTAACTATAAGCTTTATCAAAAAGGAAAGTTTTAAGCCTACCCTTAAAAGTAGACAGAGTGGCTAAGGTTATTCTGAGCTATCTCTATAGTTATGCTGCTATAGGCCTAGACTGCTGGAGGACATAGGAAAAGCGTTTTCATCATATCTCTATTCTCCCACTCTGCAGTATCTGTTCTCATAGTAGCTTCATCTGGTCTGTTCCTGTTTGGCTGTGACTCCACCCTGGAGAGAAATGTCAGCTGTGCTGCTGCCATCAACACCTTTGTTATAGATGCTGGAGATCGGCCTGTTTTCCAGTGTAGTCCTGTTTCTCTGATTGTGACTAACTGGATGTGCTCTCTCTTTCATCCTGATATGGGAGCTGGCTCAGAGCTCGTCTGCCTGGCTGTGCGTTTCCTGGAGGGGGCCGCCTGTGGAGCTGGTTAACATTGGCATTTTGTATCTCTGCTTCTTTTTCTATGTCTGCTTCTGTGTCCTTGAACCCCAGAACCCTCACATCAACTCTGGTTCTGCTGGAGGTTTCTTCCTGTTAAAAGGGAGTATTTCCTCTCCACTGTCGCTACAAGCATGCTTAGTGTGAGGGATTGCTGAAGAGTCAATTAATTAATGCAATCAATTAGTTTTCTCTAGATAGAAAACTTTGAATCAATTTGTCTGTTTGATCTGGTTGGGCTGTAAAGTGCCTTGAGATGACGTGGGTAATGAATTGGTGCTATAGAAATAAACTGAATTGAAATGAAGGGTTGATTATGGGATGCCTCGTTTATTGTCAGGATAGAGTTGGCAGGTATTTTGTTATCTTAACAACTTAAATCAAAGAACCTTTGAAGCGAAGGTCATTTGGGTCAAGATCCCACCTCTTAAGTTTAGTCCAAAAGTTTTAATGAAAAACAAATAATGATTTCTTTTAAAAAGAATTTTACCAAAACCTTGAGTGATGTTGTTGGGAAGAAACCTTGGGCTAATTATGCATTTCAAACATTCCCTCTAGGCCTCTTCAACTTTGAGTCCTAGCTGATGGTTTTGAACCTGCATATCCGTTAGCCCGGGTAAGGATATCAACCAGATACAGTAGGGTGTGGAGGGCATTGAAAATCCGAAGGTTAGAGGAAGCCAAAGCAGCAGATTGATATATTCACGCCTATTTTTACCATGTTGGATCACTTGTAGAATGCCAAGATAAACTCACCTAAAAGCTGCACCTTGCAGGTACATGGCTGGACCCCCTTTTGCTTTTAAATTTGCCTTAATTCTCCCAGGCCAAGACTTAACATCCCTCAGGGATTTGACCCATACAGACATGATAATATCAGACATGGCAGCCTTACATTTATGACACTAATTACAAGCACATAGCTGCTGAGAACAAAGACCATTACTGTCATGTTCAAGAACCACTTCTCTGACATCATAGCTCAGCATTGCTCGTGATCTAGCAGGAAGCAGAACATTTGCAACTGTGCTTACAAAAGGATAGAAATGGTCAGCAACAACACAGGGACAGGCTGTTGGGTTGGTACCGTACCAAGGTTCCCACTGTGGGCTTAGACTGTGCAATTTTGCCGGAAATACTGACTGGAATGTTTTTACAACCAAAATGGTGTCTGTGATTTTCCTCTGAACTAAAAGTTTGCAATATACATGCTTGGTTTCATTGTGGTCATTGTCTTGAATCCTCTCTTGTCCCAGAGACCATGGTTACCTATAGCCAGCATGCCTGGGTTTCGTGCCCAAATGAAACTTGTTCCTGTAGCAGCTAACCCACTTTAATAGTAAAAATGCCATTTAAACGGCCGGTGCAACAAAGCTAGTGGCTCTGCGTTTTGGAAAAACTGATTTATTAAAATGTGATTATATTTCAAATGCAATCATTTTCCAGGCCTACAGTGTGAGAGGAAAAAAAACTTCCCTGAACCATGATTGAGATTACCACTTTAGGACCAATGAAACCTGTGACTGGACTCAGTAGTCAGCAAATCACAGCGGATCTGTCACTCCTGTCATGTCTAAACCCAAGAGTCTTTGAGCTGCCTTTGAGCTTCTCCTCCACACTAGAGTGTGCACTGCTAGGGCAGCTGGAGCTGTCACAGCAATGTTTCCAGCTCTGCTCTTAAGGGCTTTGCCACTTGCATAATAACCTGAATGAAATGTTAATGTCAGCAAGTTGACATCGCAATACCGGAATTCTGCAGTGACCGAGAATGAGACGGACAACTGCGGATCACATAAGTACAAAGAACCAGCAGGCTGAATTACAATTTGAAAGTGCACATTTAAGGGCTTTACTTCGTTCCCTAAAAGTACCGTTAATGTGGCGTCTCATTCGGACCACCACAGGGCTGAGGGAGGAGGAGAGAAAACTGTTTAGACTTGCAGACTGATTGGACATGGAGCTCCAGGGCATTGGTCGTCTGGTCCGAGGTCACGCAGGCCTGTTTTAACATGCAAGATGGTCCAAAAATCATATTTTGAGTTCTGATACACACAAAGATAACAAAGAAGCTTTGATTGTGGTTGTCTTGCAGCTGTAAACTACAAAAAATATACTGATTAGATCTCTCTCAAATGTTCAAATGACTTTGGCGCAAAGATTCACCAACAAATTGACTGTTGACCTGAATCTTGTGATTTTTGGCATTATTAGTCTTGACTGGTGGTAACTGGCTGAGACAAACAGAAACTTCTTCTCCGATCATACATAAGAGCCATCAGGTCACCTTGATAAGAAAACACACGGTGTTAAAGATGCTACAGAGTGAAGGGGGGGGCAAACTGAACCATCCTCCGGTGTTTTGGAAGCTTAAGGGCCTCAGTGTGTTTTAGTGAATACTAAATGTGCTAATCAAGCTATGCTAATATGAGATGGCAGTATAAACGGTCAACCCGCATATCATTGTCAACCTTCCGTTAGAATAATACACTCATGTTTAACATGAAATGATCATGAAACACACAGTTTGAGATAATCTCTGCTACAAATATGTAAAGGTATGACCACTTGCAGCAGTAAGCTGAGAGAAAAAAACACACTGGAAATGCTGTTCTTATATCTACTCATAGTTTTTAAACAGGGGAAAGGAGATCTATGAAACTGTCATCATCTTTAGGTACGGTAGTAGCCATTCAAAATTTACCCACTTTCCTTGACTGGTCCCTTACAATCCCTTTTTAAACATCACTATTTGTACTAGTCAGATTCTGTAATTCAATGAAAGGGTGGAGTCAGAGTTAAAAAAAAATAAAATGCGCGCCAAGGAGAAGGCCAGTGGCTGGAAGTTGGGATTTTGCTGAGAGTCACAGGAAAGTATGCAGCCATTCAGCTGGTGTTTGACTGGGAAGGACCATTTTGAATGGCTGCTACTTAACGTCAAAATTAGCCAAAAAGACCTGCAATTGGTGAAATTCTGCTTTAATTATGAAGATGTTTGGATACACAGAGGAGGTATAACATTACAACCACCTCCACAGCAGCACTGGAACCCACTAGAACCCGGACAGAGGGCTTCGTTATGTGGCACAAGAGACTGGCAGCAGATCCAAGTCCTTGACACAAGACTTGTGTGTGCAGCACATCCCTGATCGGCTAGATTGGAGAAATATCAATGGAATATGGAGACTAGGTCAACACCTTCAGATTTGCTGATCAAACTATTCCTGAAGCATGATTTCCACAGCCTAGGAACACAAGGAACATGATTTCCAATCTGACATGTCCAACATGTCAGGTTGCAGACTGATTCTTAAGCAAATCCCTGTTATTCTCTACCAACAGCCTGTTTGCTGAATTTGTTTGAAGGTTGTCTGTCTGCTCAGCCTCTTCCACATGAGTATAGACTCTCCTTTAAAGAGCTGCATCTGAATGTCCTTGGTCCAGCTATAAAAAGCAGCCAGGCCCCATCACTCAGCAGCAGACTGATGGAGCAGCAGGGGAGGGGGGGTCCTGTAAAAAAGGGGAAGTAAAACGCACAAACAGTGAGCTCTGCAGCCTTTACGCCGCCAGCTCCACATAATCATCAGATCTCACTGCGACAATGCAGCCAGCTTTGAGGGCTGGCCCTGAATGGATGGCGCTCCACAGGATGTCACCATCACAGATCTATGGCGGACTGCAGCGCACACAGACACACGCTGCAACATCTGGAATGTTGCATTATGTAAGCAAACAGGACAGGGGGACATTCTGTAAGGAGCCGAACCCGCGGCTCTGCTGAGGCTGAGCGCAGGAGGCTGCAGATGGACAGACTGACTGACTGACTGACAGCTGCGCTACACCAAAACCAAGCGTTACCTCCGTCACTCCGCTCCTCCGGAAACCTTCCTCTTTTCTGACGAGGAAGAGCAGCGAGCCGCGCGCGTCCTGCGCGAAAACCTCGGCTTGATTTCACCGCAGAGGAAGGGAGGGGAAAGGGGGGCAATCCTACTCCACGATCCCCACCACGTCAGCTCTTCCGGCGGCTCGGCGCTCCGGATCTGCTGCGAATATCATCCAGACTCTGCCTTCTCTCCGCGCTGTAGTCCTGCGTCCTCCTCCTCCTCTCTGCTCTCAGTTCCCTCTCTCCTTTTTTCACGTCCACAATCTATGCAAAGCGCGTCCACGCACGGCGTGGGGTGGGAGCTTTATGGTGATACGTGTGTGGGTGGGTGTGATTGGGGAGGACCCTCCAGTTAGAAAAAGTGAAATTGTTTTCAACAGGAGAATGGCTTATCCTCTGCCCACAGTGAATTATGTTGCATCTGAGGTATGTTTACATATAGAGGCAATATGGCGCTCTACTCAGGGTGCTATTCTCTCACACTTTAATGGGGAGGATAAAATTACATTAAAAAACAACGGAGTGAAACAAACAACACCCAAAACAGCAAAGACTATTTGTTTAAAACAACACTTTGCACAATCAATTTAGGAGTAAGAGCACAAAAACTGGCTGTTTTAGGTAATCTGGACTACTTTTTTTTTTTTTTTTTTTTTTCTAAATAATAATAGGTTTATATGCTTTTTTTTTTTTTTTTTTTTTTTACAATAAATTATTTAAATTATGAAATACTTGGACTTGCATAACCTGATCAGACAGCTTTTCTTTAATATGCAGAGTAAGATTTATGTCAATTGTAATCTGCTTTTGCAAACTTCTATTTTAACTCCAGCTGTTGTACATAGATTAACAGAACATGAACTAGATTATGATGCAGATTTATTTATCATCCTCCCTGTCCCTTCCTTGTCCCATTGGAGACACCATCTTTACCTCAACATGAGGTGATAAGAGTGGATGAATTAAATTGCATTCACTACCTCAGCATGCATGAAGAGTTTAAAGTATGGAATTTGATGGATAATCTTATGTTTTTTTGTGAGTATTTAAACTGAAGGTTTGGTGGGACTAAAGAGGCAGCATCCGCTATTAGGTGACCCGAGCTTCACGGTTTGACCTTGTATGTGGACAGATGTGACCAAAGAGCCAACAATAAATTAACTAAATTATCAGCATGGCTTTGTGTGCTTTGCTTGTTTCAGAGATCGTGCTAACAAGAAATTGTCAGCTATATGTTGAAATGGACTCAAAATGGGTTCAGATGTATTACAAGTTGTTTTTGTTTTGAAAGGTTGGCTTGCAATACAACAAAACATTTTTAGAAACACGGTCTGTTCTTCTCAACCTGTTTTCTTATATAACCAAATTTTCAGACGTGGTCAGGTTCATTCTTATATGACAAAGTCAGGTGATTTTACATGTCCAAAATCAAATGAACAGTTATTTATCATGCCATCAGTTGTTGGAATAACTGCCCACTTAATATACATGAACTGAATAGTAAAGCATCTTTTAAATATTATTTAAGAATGCACTATTTAAATGTGTGAGTTGTGAATGAACATATTGATTGTATGAAAGTCAGAACTAATGTACTGGATATGAATGTAATATTTTATTGGAATGAGTTCTGACGACCTCTATAATAATGTCTGTAATGTTTAATTTTTAAATGAATGTTTAAATGTTAAGTGATTTTTGTTTTTGTTTTGTGGACCCCGGGAACCATGAAAATCTCCTAGAGTTTAATTATAACTGGAAGCATAATACAAAATATGATCAAAGAAACTTAATTGTATGATATATAATTTAAAATCTTAGCTGAAGTTGGAATTTAACTTTTAAATTATCTTGGATTCTTTGAAAAGCAAAGATTCAAAAAGGTTTCATCCTGCTCATTCCTTTATTGAATAGTCTGGCAGTTTAAAAATCTGTCAACATCTCCAGCGCTCGTTGGCGCCCCCTGCTGGCCTGCTAAGCCTCCTGGCTTCCATCAGTAAAAGTCTAGATGCTTTAGACATTATGTGTGAATTCATTGTGAGTAAAAATACGTATTTTAATGTATTCTTATGATAAAGTAGAACAAGATATTTTATATGAGTGACACCAAATTTGACATAAAACAAACAAACCGTTAATTAACCCTTTAAAGCCCGATCCAAGAATAAAGCAAAACAGAAAATTACTTTTTTTTGGTTTGAAGTCCTTATTTGGCATTTTAACAAAATATGTAAAAAGAAAAAACAGAAATACATTTTTGATATTAATAAATTATTACTATGCAATAAGTCAAGATTATTTTTTGTGTAGTCTTATGCCCTCTCTTATCAGGTACCGTATATCTGATTGTGTACAATAGGATTTTGAGCAAAATTTTTACCATGAAATTATGCAAAAGGCATCAGACGCAAAACATTTCAGAAACCGTATATATCAAATATGATACATTTGGCATTACAGGGTTAATCAGCTGCCTATCTAGCAACCACTTTACAAAAACCTACCTTTGATCCAGTTTAACCCAGAGCTTGCAATGGTTTAGACAAACAATGTTTTCAGTATTGACTCCTGGGAATGACTGCGGATCTTCCAGATGACAGCCATGATGAATCATGGGTATAACTGCATCTGATGTCTGAGCAGTGCAATGCATTTATGAGCCAACGTTCATGTGTAAAGCCACAGTAGGAGGATATCTCTCAGGATCAGTTCTGTGACATCTCTAATATGTCGCCTTCGGGCGGTGCTTGTCAGTTATATGCAAAGGGGCATGTCTGTATTTTGGCTCAAAATTCTGTGTCAGGGATGAGATCAGAGGAATATGTTGCAATGTTTTACTGGCCCCAGAGACTGAAAATGTTTTTTCCAGCTTTGGGGGATTCCAGGATAACAGGAGGAGATGAAATGAAGTTTGATATTTCGTAAAGCAAAGGTAGTGGAAACGTGAATCCTTCTGTTGTTATGAAAAGATTTCCAGCGCATTCAGACGAATCGTCTACTGAGTTTTGTCCTGGAAGGACGGACATTATGCACTTGAAATAAGAGACTGTTGTCGTTTTTTCTCATTTTAAATATAAATTGTCTTGTTCCATTGGTATAGTGTCTTACTTACCTGCTTAATTGCAGAAAAAATGACTTACTTAGATTTCATTTTTTTGCAGTGTATTCTGGCTTCCTTCGACAGTCCAACATTCAGTGACTCAAGGTGTGAATGTGTGCACTGTTTTATGTCTCTGTTTTGCCCTGCAATGGATCACGATCTGTTCAGGATGCATCCCATAGACTACTGGAGACTGGGCCCTGCTTTCTGTGAACCTCACAGATAAGTGACAGAAGACGGATAAACTGTAAGAGTCTGAAACAGGACTCTGTTATTGATTTATCATTTCCATCTAACAGTCAAAGTTTTCTTTTTCTTCTGAACTACACACACAGCAGCTGTTAAACCACAACCACTTGCTGATGGCATAGCCTGGGAGCTCATCCAAAGGAGGTGGTCTGGAAGTACAGTTTGAAATCCCAGGGGACTCATAGCAGGAATTATAAGTTTTGGATGACTTAACACATTATGGCTGAGAGAAAAAAAACTTCTTTACATTTGATGTGTGTCAGTAAAGGTAACAAAATCAGTTACTTGGGACTAGGGGAAGGTTTTGCAAAAATAATTTTATGCCGTTTCTTTAGGGAAATTATCTATTTTATTTCCCTTTCTAGTCTAGTTAACTTTCTGTTAATCAGTACTTCGCAGTCAGAAAGCAAATTCTCCCATTATAGTCTATTCCCATATTTATGTGTATAACAGGTATTTACAGTAGTAAAAGTGCATCAATAACTATGTTTATTTCATTTAATCAACAGAAGTCTAAATATTGTTTTTATTAATAGGTAAAACTTGAGCAACTTCTTTTTCTGAAGCGCACTGGTCTAGTGGTTAGAGCATGTTGCTTGTGCTCTGAGAGGGTTGCAAGTAAAAAGTGAAACGTAGATATAAATGTCAAATTATGTCTAAATTGGTTGAAAATGCTATTAATGTAGATTTAAGCCACATGTATGGTTAAAAAAAAAAATCAAACAATTTGAAGCTAAGCAAGTTCAATGGAGTTTTAATTGTTACGGCATCTAAGGCAGATGTGCGTCAGTGTTTGCCATGGTAAGTGCTGTCCAAATAGTGCTGCCATTTAGGAAGCAGGTAGAATAAGACCCTGTGTTCTTCCTATCATTTTTCATTATTATAGTGAACTTATGGCCAAACTCCAAACGGGCCCCTAAACCCTAACCTTCCGTTTGCACGTTCCCACGGAGGGTCCGCCACATGAAGGGCTGTCCCAAACCATGTAGTGGGTAGGGAGAGTGTTCTGTTCAGCCCTTAATAGCAAGTCTGGATCAGTTCAGGCTTGCTAGAATTTAAAGTAACAGCGAACTAAGAGAGGAGGAAACGCTGGCATTGATCAAAAAAGCAAACATCCTCCCTTCCCTTACATTCAGCACTTCTCTTGGGCTGGGATCAGAACTGAGTCCGGTTTTTCTGCATCAAAAAGGTCGTTTATCATACATATGGTTTTGAAAAAAGCGAAGAACTTAAAATCTTCCAACTATTTTTTTCTAAACTGAAGGTTAGGACTTGTGAGCAGAGCTGCTTTCCTGAAAAAGAAAACAGTCCAACATCACACCTTCAGTCCCGACCCCCACCATCAACCAAATCAAACACTTGACATGATACAGTTAAGCAAGTCTCATTCACCTGGCAAATACCAAAACCAGACATCCTTTGGAATGCCAGACAGAGAGGCATGGCCTCCATACCAGAGTACACTTCTCCATCGCTTTAAAGTGCAGCTAACTGAATGCAGTGAGGTCATTTAAGGCAAATACTTTTTGTGTATGTAATGATGAATGCAGCTTTTTGGTCATGGAGACCATATGATCTCTGGAGGACTGTAAAGACCGTTGGTGACCTCTGCTCCCTCTCCTCCTCAGCATCCACTCACTCCAAATGATGATTTCAAGGAGCCTATCTCTTCATTTGTGAGTCACAGGGAAAGACTGTGGAACATTTAGCTGTTGACTTGGACACAGATATTTCTAGCAGTGATTCCCAGGTCCAGGTTCTACACACCGGTTGCAATGGAAGTGTCTGAAATGCCTAAATGCTACGATTTGGATGGGGACCCTATACTTTCTATTATACATTGTATGTGTATGGATATCGAGATGTTACAAATACATTAGTTACTGGGCTTACTGCTTAAAAAGTT